GTTGAATATTAACATAATTTTTGTGATAGTAGAGCGCAGAAAAATGTAGAGCACTTCTTAGCTATCCCAAGTACAACCTAATTGTTGAACTCCACCAAGCGCCCAATGGGCGCACGCTTCATTGAAGGAGGTGGGATGTTCACAAAATCTGAGGATCGAATTCTCAGTTGCTAACAATTAATAAAACTAATCCACTAACCATTGTCTTTGTAAAAAAACAAAAAAGTACAACCTAATTGTCGATGAGGAACCTTGATGTTACCTTCTCTTTCACATTCCACCCCATTTTCCAATGCTCTCAGGTGGGTACTGAGGGAATTAGGCAAATTTTTGGAATTGTGAAATATTTGATAAATATAGTTTTTGTGGAAAATTTAAGTGTTAAATTTAAGGATGTTCATTTGTACGCACACCACTTCACACTTGACGGGACACAATTAATAAAATAATATATTATGCTAATTTAAAATAAGAAAGAGAAACACCACCTAATCCTATATATAGCGATTCATTCAATTATGGTGTATGCTTAATTTCAAACAAATTATAACAACTTTTAATACGTCACTCATGTGGTGATTATACGAGTTTTTCACTCAAATCACCAGACTTCGAAATCTTTACCCCCATTTCCCTTCCTCTTACTTCCAATTCCCTTTGTACCAAAAAGGAAAAAAAAAGAAAGAAAGAAAGGACTATAACGAGAATCCTGACTCTTGAGGTGTGGAGTGGTTGAAGAAGCCTGTGCTGAGACTTGGTTTGAGATTTGTCAACATGTTCGAATCCCGTGAGATCGGCGATGGCGGACCGTCCGAGTTTTCAAGTGCGGAGTGTTTGACTGAGATTTGGTATTATTTCGTGATATATGAATTTGAATGGGTTGTATGAATGGGTTGTATTATTGGGATAATTTTTTTGTTTTACTTTTTTTATATAATTTTTTCACGTTATTAAATGAATAAATACATTTAATATTATTAATTTTACATGAATAAAAATAATCAATTATTTTAATAATACATCAAGTTATACAAAAAAAATAAATAAAATAAAATAATTGTTCCAATAGCATTTCTCATCTTGAATATGACAGTTGGCAGGAGGTTGTAATCTCGCCAGGTAAGCGAGGGCGGAGAGTTGGGCTTTCAGGTGAGGATTCTTTGAAGAAAGCTGTGCTGAGATTCCGGTGGTTTTTTTTCGTGGTTTTTGGTCTTCAATATGAGAGTTGGCAACAGGTTCCAATCCCGCGAGGTAAGCACTTGGGTTCCCTCGATCAGGGTGATTTCCTTCAAGGTGACCGTGACTGCCACTCGGATTGCATTCAATTCAGTATCTGATTTTTCTTTTTCCTTTTTGTAATGGGAAGTCCCAATCTGAGGGGAAGAAAAGTCTAAGCATGATGACTTAACATGAAAAAAATTTTGTTTCAGTCAAGATGTACCTGACTACTAGTCAAAAAACCTCCACCACAATTTTTCCTTTTGTTTTTTTAATGGAGATATGTTGCTAGTTATATGTCAAACTTTTTTTTTTTTTTTTTATGTGGGACATATCAATATCTTCTATATCAAAGCATATGTGACAATGTTATATATGAACACCGCAGTCTTATTAATTCAAGAAAAAGTAGCCAGTATCTTTTTCCTCTATATATGTAAAGATATGAGGTGTTTAACAAGGTATATATGTAATATGATAATGAGTAAAGGAATGAGAGGGATATTTTTCATAAACATAAACTCTTATGCTGTTTAAAGAATCAAATTTTGATTAACAAAGTGTTACTTTTGTTTCAATCAGGTCAATCATGAAGTAAAAAAAATAAATCTCTTAGTAAAAATGAAAAATTAGAGAGAATCTAGTGAAAGTATATGAACGCATTGCTGAAGATCTAGAAGTTCTGTGGAGTTCAGTTCCAAATTTCGAGTGGAAACTTCTCTATTTTAGGTTATTTTAGTATTTACATATTTAGGGGTACGTTTAGTTTAAAGACAGGGCAAGAGATGGATAGATTTTTTAAACAATGATATTGCAATATTTAAAAAACTCATCCATCTCTTTTTTTTTTTTCATTTCTTTTAAATCATATATACAATAAATATTATAACAAATAAAGAATAAAT